TAAGAAAATACAGCATGCAGACAGATGTGCAGCAGTGATAGCAGCAATTTTGTGCTGGAAAATATATATATATATACTACTATATATTCTGGATGTTATTCTGTTATACTTGTTAATTATTCTTCTAAATTGTCAAAAGATGTCAAGCACAGACCAGGGACAGAAAATCCTTATCAGATATGAAATCCCAGCTAGAGCAGGAATGGGTGTAGAGTATTGGCTTCCACAATGATTTTAAACATGTTAGTTCATCTGAAAGATGTTTGGAATCAGAAATATGAATAATGAACATCATTTGCATAGGACACTATACATGTACATTAATATTGAACTCCCTACATCCCAACAGTTCCCAGAGATTATGATACTGCTTGGGTGGGGTTGTAGCTGTTCAGTGAGTTAATGAGAATTAATTTTGCCCATTCTTGGCAGTTGTGATCATGACCTTTAGTTTTCTAGCCCATATCTGAATTGGTAAAATTACACTCTCAATAATACAATAATGTATCTAATAATGTGCTACAAAAATATGTCATATTAATAGTAAAGTGGAAAATAATAAAGTGGAAAAAATTTTCTAGGAGGGAACTAATTTGAGGGCAAAGGAGATGCTACTGCATTGCAGAAGGGCTGGTTTAGGGACTTGGACAGGCCACAAATCCAATGTTTTAGGTTCAAATCAGTCTTTGGGTCAGGCAAACTGAACATTAAGCCACTTATTAAACGTGACCTAGAAAGTTCTACCTGCCTTGCATGAACAAGCCCAATATTTAATTTCCTGGTAAAACCAAATACAGATGAACATGAGTAATTTCATGCCTTTTGTATTTGACAGCTCTTCATAGCTGATAAAGAATAGCCTGCTGCTTGGCTATGGTGCCTTTTCTTAAGCTGCTTTTTGACTGTGAGCAAACTGTTTTTTCAATCCATGCAGTAATACCCCAGACGTATTTCCCTGTATCCAAACATGTGGGTGTTCTGCAGAGGTTAATGGAAATTAAATTAAAGCTGAATAATACTGATTATAATGCAAGAGTGTGCAAGCAAAGCTAATTAATACAACTGGCAGTGTAGCTCAATCTTGCCCTGTGACACACTCTCTCTCTCTTTCTCCTTCAATCCCATTTTTTTTCATAAGCATGGACCCAAAGCTACTTGTTTTATACAGTCTTGAATGGATAGATATACATCAGCATCCCACATTTGCACTCAGGACTTAAATTATATTCTATCCTCTGGAAAGATGTGAAAAGCTATTATATTCTTCCTTTTTCCTCCTTGCTTATGAGCATCCCAGTTCTACCATTAGGATTACAGTATTTCCTAGATTTTAGTGTTTTTTCTGTGCAAGGAGATGTAACAAACAAACTTGGACTTTATCTTGATTAAGTGGCATATGTCAACAAATGTAATTTCTGGTGGACCAGCTCACTTTTTATCTTATATTAATGATCCAACTTTGCCATTAGTTTACCAAAGGGGAGAGAATGGCTTTTAACTATGGATAGTATGCACAGGCTACCTGAAAAAAAATTGAAAATCAGAATTAAAGATTTGAAAACTGGAGGGTGGTAACAGGACAGAATGAAATCTTGCATCCCTGCAAGATTTCATATATCTTAGAGTATATCTTATTTCTTGCTAGCACCTTTTCCACATGCTTCACTGAGCCAGTCTGGAAAGGAGGCACCTGAGAAGGCGCTGGTGCAATGAGGGATGCTTGGCCTGAGGACGATGATGAAGGTTTAGTGTTTCAAAACTAAACAGTGTATTAAGTTCAAAGGCTCCACTTGCAAGGTACTGTGTGATCCCAGATTTTGAAGCATCCTGTTTGTAGGGTTCCCTTGGGCTGTTACACGTCTGACTGCTGGACTGTGGCTTCCTTGTGTCCCTAAACCCTTCTTCTTTTTTGGCACATCTGAAAGCCATTCCTTTGATACTATTCTTCCTTTTCCACAGGAAACAAGCCAGTTGTTGTGTCAGCATCCTGGCCAGGAATCAAAGAGAACAAGCAACTTGTCAGGCAACACCCAGGGCACAGACAATTGGGATGGGGATGATATTTCAGTGAGAGCCTTTCTGGTAGCCAGGAAAAATATAATGAAAATTTAATGCAATTCTGGAAAAAATAAGAAGCATTATCCATAAAAGTTATGAGTTTATTTCTATGGCAGAGGTCAAACAACACCACAGCTACTTTTCCATCCTGTGCTCTCCAGTCAGGAATAAGAGCTGTTATTATCTATGTATTCTAGCTGCCTCATAGCTGCCTCATGGCATCTTAGTAGAGAAAGTGTCTCAGATTCCCAGTGTCTCCCACTTTAGCCATGACAGCAACCACAAACTCTCCCATTTATAATTACAGAGGTATGACTGTATTCTGACCTCATAATCCCTCTTTGGCAAATACACCAATTTCTTATAGGAATATATATATTTTACCTTCTTTCATGTGACCAAACAGTCCATGAGCCACAACCTGAGGACATCAGATACAGAAATATTCTGATTCCGTGAATAGCAGATGTAGGAACCATTCATTACACCTTTGCCCTCTTTAAACTCAGCTTTAAAAGCTAACCCAACCACAAATATGTGAAATAAATGGAGTAATAAACAGACACTTTAAAAATGTTCTTTATTTTTATTGTCAAATTTAAGGTCAATCCTCATTAATTTGCAGAAAGTACAAAAATGTTCCTATTAGTCTAGTTTGAATTAAGGTGTATTTGTAAATAAAACTAAGCCTGTTTTTTCAAATACCATTTCTGTGCACAAATTATATGTCTCATTCTTTTAATGAAGCATGTAAAACAAATTTCAGTTCAAATATTAAAATATTTTATACTTGGGTGTCAGAATTACAAACAGAAATTAAAGGTTCTCAAAAAAAAGTGCCTGAACTGTAGAAGTACACACTAAAGACATTACAATATACACATGCAGAGACATGCACAAATAAATATCTCTGTATATGAACATACTACAAAGATCAAAAATACCTGTGTCCTGGTTTTTATGAAATCTCAGTAATTCAACTAACAAGAATGCATGTTTAATGTAGTACTCATATATTGCTTATGCAATAATTAGAGTTTCCTATTTATGTCAGTACAAAATCATTTCAGTCACACATTAAAATTGTGTGTCTTCCAGTCAATATCCTACAGCGATGCTGAAACGATGAAATACATTAAGGAATCATATGGGAGAAGATGAAGGAATAGTGCAAAATAAAGGTGTACTGAGTCTCTGAAAAGATTAATTTGCCTCATGATGAATTGGTAACTGTAAATCCTCTCTCTTCTTTAGACAATATCCTCTTTCTTTTGAATGATTCCATTTGTCATATGGTGGAAGAAGATATATCAAGATATATAGGACAATCCTATGTATATATTGTGTTGGAATTGTGGAAACGTGACAAAGTTCCTTTCTGTTTAAAATCTGGACTTAGATAAATCATAAGAACTCACCATCTGTTGGCAAATCATTCCAGCAGAAAGTGTGTTGTTTCAGTGTGCCTGTAGAAATCTTCAGGTGCAGCCAAGGGACATCAAAAAAATTATGTCTATTTGGGGAAAATTACATTTTAAAAATCCTAGCATACAAGACAGAGATGCCCACAGGTCCTTCATCTGAAAGTCCATGTCTTTTCACATGTCTTTGAGCCATTTGTATTTGAAAGATGATGCTCAAAGAACAGACCCTGTAAATAAGACTCCTCATTTCTAGGGAGGCCACCTGGTGTGAAAATGTCCAGGTGATTCTTTGGGCTTGCTTCTTCCACTAAAACCAACACGGGAATCTATTATGAGGACTTTAAATTGTCTAAAGTGGTATAGACTAGATTCTATCACTCTAATTATACAGAGTGGGGTATTATTTTATAAATTGGTTGTTTCTACTTGTGGTTATCTCTAGTAGAAGGAAAGTAAACATAAGTATATCCCAATCTGTGTACAGAGACAAGATCTACATCTCCACAACATGCTCTTAGCTTTATTAAGGTCATTGGAAGTTTGCACATCAAACACTAAGAAGCCACCTAGGACATAATGTAATTTCTTTGCATTTACTAATGCCTAATGAATAAGAACAGTAATGTACTACATGAAGAGTGTGTATAAAATTGCTTGTTACTAAACATGGCTTTTACCACAGAAGTTGGATCCAATCTTCGAATGTCATAAAGTTAAGTTTCAGGATATAAGCAGGTTTAGGGGATCTTGGAGTAGCTCAGGAACATTATCATGAGCAGTCCAGGGCAGGCAGCATCCAGCACTCTCCAGCTGCCACCCTGACATGGGATGTGCTCAGCATGAGCAAGGTCTGTGCTGTTGCCCAGATAATTGTGTACCAAGGCCATCTCCTGCAAACCATCCTGTCACATCTCATGCCTGGAATACAAACTCAAGAGCTGCCTCCCTGACGGCTGCTGGCATGAGCCAGGGCTGCTTCATGTGCCATGCAGCTCATGGACTTCCTTCTGTGGTGTGACCCAAGCCATCTGACACATCTGGTCAGCACATCACCACTAAATAATTTCTTAGCTAATAAATAATCTTAATGCCAGGACTCCTTAGTTCTTGCATCTACTCACTCTAATGTGGTATCCACCCAAGGCCACAAATCTCTGCAACAGCTTCTTACACAACAAACCTTCCCTTTTGCCTTCCTTCAAAATCCTGTTTACCCTTAAACACATCAGGATCATTAATCACTTTCTGTAGCATTCTTGTATCAGTTTATACTGCACTCTCTCTGCCAGTAAATCCTTTTAGAATATGCTATGGTATGCAAAATTCTGTCTCTAACTCTGGATTCCAGTTTGCCTTTTTGTTGGAGCAATTAATAAACAATTCCTATTGCAGAGACTTGTTGTACAACAAGGAAAGTAACTCACACACCTAAGTAACTCTGGATTCCAGTTTGCCTTTTTGTTGGAGCAATTAATAAACAATTCCTATTGCAGAGACTTGTTGTACAAGTAACAGCAAGCTATTAAAATGATCCTAATACAGAATAAACTAGGGTTCAGTTCACAATCCTATTCTTGTATGCCTGTTTTGAACAGTTCTTTTAAATGGCCCTTTAAGGATACTAATATGCATCCATATATATATATGGATGTATATTATGGATATATATCTGATAGGGGAGGCAAATAAATTTACCTCTTTTATCTTTATAAACATGCAAACTCACAGAGAATATATATTATTACTTCCATATTAAGAAGTAATATGTTGAATTAATTCCTGGACTTCACTATACTAAACATTTATATTCCTTTTAGATATGTATTTACTATAATCATTGAGTACTGTGATACAGGATGCTCACAATGTATTAAATAAGTTCTGCACAGTGAATTACTTATGTCTTATCAAAGAAAGTTAACTTTTTGAACTGACATTAGAATATGACTTTAAAATTACGGTTATTTTCTTCTATGTTAATGGTAACATTTTTCCTGGTCAGACTGGGCTTGAACATAATCGAAGGGGCATTTATAAAACAACAAAGTAGCCACAACTCTGCTTACTAGTTGAGACTAGGACCTTCAAGTAAGGCTGACCAATATGAAAGCTACTATTTTTAAGGTCAAAATTGTGTCAATATGAACAATAAATTAAAACTAAGTAATTGAACATTTAATATATAAAAACATTACTGTGTGACTTAACTATATATAACCTATACATCTAGTTGAAAAGAGATTTAGTGGAAGACTAGACTTTAGTCTCACCTTCTTGAGTTGTCTGGGTTTGTGTTTTAAAATGTGTGACTGCTTTAAATTAACTCTGTGGGTTTGAATGTGCACACTCAAAACCCCTTTATGACTAAAAATGCAGATTCATGTGTTCATTTCCTGGTTTTAATTGTGATGAGCTGTACCCCTTATTATTCAGCCTCATCTTAATGGCAATGTGGAACAGGACATACACATGGGATAACATGGAAGTCAGTAAAAAACAAACATCATGAATTTCTGTGTATGTCTGTGTAGTGCCACTGCTTTAGACGAACGATGTCTACGGGCTTGCAGCTGCTTTCCACAAGACCTGATTCTGGAGGCACTCAGTAGCAGCTGCCTGCTGTATTCAACCTGGAACACCTAGAGATCTTCATGTCTTCAGTGACTGACATTTAAATTGCAGTGAAGCTTTGTTAAGTCCATCCTCACCTGCAATTTTCTTCATTAATTGGCACAATTCTTTGCTTTTCTTCTGTCACTTTGCCTGATGCCTTTTGTAACATTAATGGCAACTTCTTGTGTGGTCGTTTTCTGTGTGTCCCATTTACTCTGTGAGGGTTTTAAAGAGTACAGTGAGTTCCATGATGACAACAGAAAGAGTCACTGATGATTAACCCCTAATTTACACAAACAGTTCTATGTAATAAACAGAACATCTCCAGCATCCTTCACACAGCACTGTGATGCAGAGCAACTGTCTCATTCAGCATGGACACAAGCTTTTATCTGCTGCAAAGGCAAAGGCAGCGGATGTCAGTAGGCTTTGGATCAACCTTCTTGCCTATAATTATCAACTCTGCAGGTGTGTACTGTAAAGGCAGAGCAAATAAATCTGGTTTCAGTCCAGAAGTGAAAATTAGAGGTTCCTTTTGATGTTACTGTGAATTGTACATCACTAGCCTGAGCTGGAATTTTCTGTACTGGATTTTTTGTTTCTGATGTGAAAATATAGTTTTAAAGTAACACTTCTGCCTGCATACAAGATCCAAGCACGATATATACCTTTCAGAGATTCATCAGTTTATTTTCAATATTCAAAAAAGTCAGTCTGTCTGAGGCATACAAGTGCATCCCTAATTTAAATTTATACTTTTCCATCTCCCAGACTGTCTGCTTGTTGCCATAAGCAACACACCATAATGCACAGGAAGCTGGATAGGTCTAATAAAGTGTACCCAGATCTGGGCTGATAGAGGCACATAGCTGGGTTAGTTGGGTTTGATTATTGCATTGCCAGTGTTCCATGAGACTATTTGTCAGCGTGAGGAATGCCAGGTAAATTAGGCATTATTACATGGGAAGAGTGCCTGGTAAAATAATGTCTGATAAAGTTCAGACACTGACATACTGGAAGGTTCATATGTATCACAGAGAAACACCTGGAATTAATTTTTTGCTGTGTATTATTTCACATTTCTGCAGCCTGAATACACCAGCTCCTTTCCTATTTACTCCCCCAGTGCTACTGCTCATGCAACTACTTGCCAAAGACTAAAATGAGAATCCAACCAGATTATTGTCAGTCAGGGTCATTATCTGGATACCACCTTTTCTTAGGAGAGGTACCTGACTAACCTGTTACCTTCACTGGTACTAGGACTCCTTTCTTTATTACCGTCTTCATCATCATCATCACCATCATCATCTTTTACTTCTAAACTGTTTTGACATTATGGTCATGAGAGGATAATAAAATTTCCCAGACACAATGTCAAACCTTTTCCCTTTGTACAGCACAAGCTGTACCCTGTCATAAGCAAGTATCAAGGGATAAGGCAGATGGCTGCTTTAGAGCTTGATGCAGGAGAAAGTGAGAAACAGAGAGGTGACATGATTTATCCCCTGCTAGCCCACAGGGTGATGGCACAACCCAAGCCCTGCAAGAGCACCATGTGCTGCATTCTACAGCATGTTGAGAAAAAATAAAAACTGTATCAATGTGAATGTTCAGGTAAATAAAATGGGTACATTTTGAGCTGCCTGCAATAATCATCTTTTCAACTCTAGGCATCTAAACTTAAGGTGTTCACATTATCTGCTCACCTTATGGTTCCTTAAACAGTGGAAAAACAGAGATGCAGAATAGCAGACCAGAGCTGGAGCCTACGTGGGATACTACACTTTTTCTCTAGGCATATATATTTCTTTTCTGACTATAAGAAGTTTAGACAGCTTCTTATGTACCAGCATTGGATGTGGAGAATATTGTAAAGGCTTTATCATCAGAATTTTTTTTGCACTGAGCTGCAACAGCACAGATACATGTTACTGAATGTATATCAGCTAGAAAATGCAGGAGGGTATCTTCAGTTATGGGGGCTCAGGGCAGGAACCCACACTTCACTGAGTAGTACCATTGCAGTCAACACCCACATGATAAATATGTTGTGGGAATTTGCCCATACTTCCTACTAAGTGCAATACAAAAGTAATTTTCCATTCAATTGCAAAATTAGACAATTTTCTCTAACAGTAGGACAGGTACACACTGTAATTATAAATTGTGACCAAGTCTTTTTCAAATTGGATTAATAATTATGTCGTTCTATTTGACCATATCCAACCTCACTAATTAAATTTTTTCTGTGGGCTAGTGGCTATGACAAGCATTTGGGCTTTTCTTTTACAGAAATCCCATGGCTTTAGATGTCATGCTGCTGTGGAATGTGTCCCAGTCCACCTGGAGGTGCAGTATCTCATGAAAAGATAGAGCAGTATCTTTTATGTCACCTGGGAATATCTTTGTACTATAGCAATACAAACAAAAATAATATGATGGAGATATAAACTGATGTGCTGTGTGTTGGCAAATTCAAGATGAAGTTCAAACCAAATTCCCTTTTTCATTTGCTCAGACCCCTTGGTTTAAGGATGTGACTGTCAAGATGGGACATCTTCTGATGGGGTGGGTGTAGCTGTTCTGCCACATGCTGTGCTGAGGCACTTTCTGTGGAAAAATGTCAAAAGACAAAGCTCAGCAAGGAGGAGTGCCCACACTGGCAGTAACTCAGCAGGGACAAACTATGCATGCCTGAGCAGCAGGGACACCATGGGAGCTTGTTTCATGTCTGAGAGAGGCAAGAATCAAAGGCTGGAATTGCACAGAGGTGTTGCAGTCATTCTCTGTCTAAAACAATGCAGCTAACAGGAACTGAGCTGAAAAAATGACCCAAATATTGACCAAAAGCTGAAATTTGCTTGAACTTGGAAACACATATTCCTTTTCATGCACCAAGTAGCATGCTAACAAAGTAAAACCTGTACAATCTTTACATGTATATAAAGTCACTCAAAGTGTGAAATTATGCCAACTGAAACTTTTTTCCCCCCATTCTCGAAGAGAACAATATAAATATGACTTAACAGGGGAGGGAGGTCAGAGGAGACTCTTCCTTTGTGCCCTGGGATGCTCAACAGGCTGTTCTCTCTCCTCCCCCATGGAGACACTTGTCAGGTAAGCTTTGTTCCACAGTAATACTATTGCTTATGCATTCTGACACCACTGCATTTATCAACAGCAGTTTGTGGACTTTAGTCTGTCCAAGAGGCAAGAAATTTCAGTTTGTGAAAGTGGAGTCTCACTGAATTTGCCCAGACTTTCAGTGCAATGCATGTCTGTTCTGCATCAGGGATTGTGGTCCTGACCAGGATTACTGCGCCTCTGGCACCTCACCAGACTCAGAGTGCTAGACTGGTTACTCTGAAATGTTGTCTGTGAAGCTCTCCCAGGATCTCAGACAGGCAGACAATACTGAGTGAGAAAGGGAAGACCCCAGGCCCACTACATCTGCAGACAACACAGAAAGCAAGGGGCAGGTCTCCCTTCCCTAATTTTTTATGTGACAGAAGAAATGGTGTAGTCAGCAGGATTGCCATGGATAAACAGTTACAGAAGTATGAATGTGCTCCTTCCCAGGCAGGCAAGGAATGGGCTAGAAAATTCTGGAAAGACAAAGCAATTATTTGTGCAGTATTGGAGACTCACTTATACACAAAATAATCAGAATCCTTCTTCCCTCAAATATACGAGTCTCACTGAATTTGCCCAGACTTTCAGTGCAATGCATGTCTGTTCTGCATCAGGGATTGTGGTCCTGACCAGGATTACTGCGCCTCTGGCACCTCACCAGACTCAGAGTGCTAGACTGGTTACTCTGAAATGTTGTCTGTGAAGCTCTCCCAGGATCTCAGACAGGCAGACAATACTGAGTGAGAAAGGGAAGACCCCAGGCCCACTACATCTGCAGACAACACAGAAAGCAAGGGGCAGGTCTCCCTTCCCTAATTTTTTATGTGACAGAAGAAATGGTGTAGTCAGCAGGATTGCCATGGATAAACAGTTACAGAAGTATGAATGTGCTCCTTCCCAGGCAGGCAAGGAATGGGCTAGAAAATTCTGGAAAGACAAAGCAATTATTTGTGCAGTATTGGAGACTCACTTATCTTATACACAAAAAGTAATCAGAGTCCTTCTTCCCTCAAATATATAGAACATGCTGCTTTGAAATCAGAAAATGAAGTATTAAAGTCATCATTGGCTTTTGAGAGGGAAATAAAAGAAAGATTGGAAACCCAAAAACAAGCTTATTACTGAGAAAGATAATTTTAAGATTCTACACGCTTCAACAGAGCATAGGAAAAGACAATTATTGTAGAAATTAGGTAGGAAAAAAACATAGCAATGTGAAACTAAATCTGTGAGAGGAAATAGAGGGCAGGAAAACAACTGAATTGTTACTATCTTTGGAAACTGAGCAGCTGCACAAATGGTTACAGAAAGAAAAGGCGATAAAGCAAAAACTGGAAGAAAAGGTAAAAATTATGCTTAAGAGGGCTGCCAATCCAGCCAGCATTGTACAGATAAGAAAGCCAATTGTAGCCTTTGGAGAATGGTGAAGAAGCTGAGGGGACAGTGGCCATTCACCATTATCTGCAGGAGACTGAATACCAATATTACACCTTTAACTACTGCTGTGCCAAATTTTGTGGAACTGTAATGCAAATTCAGGGAGCATCCTATTCACAGAGGGCAAAACTAGATATAAAAGTTGTTATTTATGATTCCACTCTGGGAATACCTCAAGGCTCAATTCATGCTCATCCAGAAAGAAGTGCAGTGTCCCTTTTGACAGATTGCCACAGGGATATAAACATTCACCCATGATTGCACATTTTGTGATTGCCAAACTTTTACAGTCTCACTCTCCCCAGATGTGAAATTAGACGATATTGTAGTAAGAGGAGACTCCCCTGAAAAAGTAGAAGCAGCAACAACAGCATGACAAGCACTTCTCAAAGTAGAAATTGAGATTCCCCCAGAAACACCAAGGACCATGTAAAGGACTTTATCTGCTACATCTGCAGATAACCCAGAAGACAAGGAAGTCTCCCGTCTCCAAATTATTACCTAACACCTTCTCAAAACACCAAGAAACCAAGGAAGCAGTAAACCAGGCAGGGATTTTGGCTTCCTTTAATCTGCAGCAGCTCAGCAGCAGCTATGCAAACAGGGCAGCAAGTGGAAGGCTGTAGGAGGCAGGTGAGTGGGCAGGCAGCTGTGACAGGAGAAGGCTGGTCTTTGGTATAGCCCCAAAGCCTTGTTCTTACAATGTGTACAATGTACACAACACAAAGTGAGGGGGAAAAGCGGGGAGGATCCAATCCAAAGCCTACTGAACTTATTGCAAAGACACCCAGTGACTTTTTCAAGCTTCATGTCCAGCTTTGAATGAACCAGGGTTCATGCAGTGCACATATTTTAAGCAGAACAGCAATTAAGGGAAAACATGTTCCTTTTTGGATAGTTAATCTAAGTAGTTTGCACAATATGTGCCACAGCTGGACTGAGTTGAAAACAAATGAGTGTGGGGGCTGTTTTTTTACTGTAACAAGTGTGTGTGTTACTCTGATTGACAAATAAAACATCAATTCTGTGGCTGTTCAGGCATGAAGCATTTCCAGAGGTGCTCAGCTCAGTCATGCCATGTCTGTAATGCAGCCTGGCACCAATTTCTCATATCTCAAGACAATGAATACAGTTTCACTGCAAAGAGAAAGGCTGTCACAAAAGTAATTTAGACCTGGTTGAAGCTAGTTCTTGCCATTAGGGAACGTAATTATACTCATACCTCAGTAGTCCTGAAGCCATTCTGTCTCTGTGTTGCAGTCCCAGTGCTGTGGACTATGGGGTTTGCACACTGAGAGCCACAGTTGCTCCTCTTCTCAGGGTTCAGCATTCCAGCTGTGGCTGATGCTGTAGATACACCTGTGTGAGCCAATTTCCCATCCTCCAGAAGACCTAGTAGGGACACATGGAATTGGGCAGTTAATACTGAGCAGCAATTTGCAGCTGGCTCCAGTGTCCCTCTATTTTGCCTCATTTTGTGATTGTGTCAGTGATGCAAGGTGTGGTACAGTGCCACAGTGAGAGCAGTCTACCTCCCTGTGGCTTCTTCATCCTCACATTTGACATCATTTGGCCTTTTTCCTATGGTCCACTGCTCTGAGAAACATTGGCTCAGGAAATCTTGGGAAAAAGGCAGTGAGTGCAGTATGTCAGTAGATTTTTGTCACCTGCATGTCTCCACTGACTTCTCTACACACACGGCTCCTTGTGTGACCAAGAGTTGAACTTAGGATCCAGAAAAGACCCTTTAAATCTGTTCCAGTTCTGGGAAATGAAGGGGTTAGATGTGAGCATAACAGATGAGACCAATATGGATGGGAAGGGTGCTCTATGCATGGCCTTGCCTTGAATATTTTTTTCATTTGAAGTTGAGAAATTTTTAAAAAAATATATTTCATGCTGTTTTGTCTATCAGCAATCAAATAAATGAGTAATTTGCTTTTTGGTCTACCTGTATGGATATACATGAACTGTACAATATGATATTGGACAGCATAGATGAATTTTCCCATCTTACTGCATTAACAAAAATCAGTTTACATTTATGGTGGGTGCAGAGCACTCAACATCTGGTTGCAACAATGGGTCTGAAATCCAAATATAAGGAGTAAGGGGGATGCATGACTGTTGCTCTCAATTTAGTTTTTATCAAAGCTTATTTATGAAGGCCTTTATGTTGAAAAGAGAAACAAAGAAGGCAAATTTACTAACTGGTAATGCAGGTATCAAACCTAGAAAAATTAAGGAGTCACAGACACCAAAGGAAAAAAAAAGTATGTGGAAAACCAATGAAAAGCCATTGCTGTATGAAGTGACATTTTGTCATCAAAATCTTCTACATTAATCAGGTAGGAATTCAAGGGCTGTGTTAAAGATATTTACAAGGAAGCAAAGTCCTGAATTCTTTTTCAGAAATGTGTCAGAAAAGATGATTTGTCAGTAGAAAGCAACATTTGTCAGTATTAGCTAGCAAAGGCAATGACTGGACTCAATAAAGTTTCACCCAAATATTCAAAGCCTTGGTCTTGAAAATATATAAAATTTTGTGAAATTACAAGGTCTTTAAGGTCTCTTCTGACTCAAACCATTCTGTGATCCTGGGATTTAAGAAGTCTGAATACAAACGAGTCACTGCATTTCCCTGAGCAGTCAGAAGATGGAGGCAGAGTATTCCAAAGACGCTTTAACTTGTAGTGGTGGTTACTAATAATGCTGTCGTTTAGTTTGTATAGAAAAAAATTGAGCTGAAACTTGAAAATATTATATTATAATTTATTTTTTAAAAATACTTCTGTCTTTGGAAACTGCTTTTTCTGCTAGATATAAAACCGGATGTTGTTCTTGTGTCTAAGTTTGGATGCAACTTCAGTAAGGCAACAGCAAACTTCACCTCTCCTGCATCTCCCAGAATTCCTCACCTAGTTATGTTTTAGGTCTTACCTCTCCCTGTCACTCCACAGGACCAGAGGAGAGGCAAACAATGCCTGGTGCAGAGCAGTAAGTGGCACAGGCTGATGTTGTAGACAAAAGCAGCTGTCAGGAAGGGAGATGGAGAGGCAACGAGCCACGTGTGAGTCAGAGCTCTCAGCCAGGAGTCCACTGCTTCACCTTGCAGTGGAGCCCTGAGAACGGGCTTGAGCACAGCTTTCAACAGGCAAACTGCAGGAATTACACACTAATTCCATTAATTGAGTCTTTGACATTTCAAACATCCAAATGATGAGTTTTTCCTTCTGTGGAGTCATCCTATGAAATTACTTTCTACCATGTATCTCTTTGGCCATCTGGCCTCTGACTAAATTGTCTGGTAAAGCATCTGTCAGCTAAAAAGCCATTTTGTTATTAAGTCCAATTGTTCATTTATCAGATTGTGTTGCATCTTTTGGTCTTGCACAGAAAACTTTTTCTTACATTAATCCATTTCCAGATGGACGCAGATGGAAAATCTCAATCCTGAAATTGGTATATCTGGATCATTTTTTGTCTCTGTTAGTTTGCAGCCTAAGCATACCTGCTGCATCCTGCGTTGCAGGGGTGTGCCTTTTTTTGCAATACTTGTCAAATATAAACCAGGTGTCAGTATTTGAGCCTTCCAGTATCACTATTATATTTTTATATGGATGACCTAGTGGTCACCAAACCTAGACAAAAAGATTTTTTATTTTATCCTGTAATATGTTTGCTATTCTGAAATTAAGAAACTACTTTAGAATTCATTTTCATTAGCAAATAGATGATTTAGACAGTGGGCAACAGTTTAATGGCTTCAGTGACTTGCCCTTTATGTATGAACACCAAGAAGAAATCACAGTGAGAATACATAAGCAGTGGTGTTCAGAGCACGAGATTTGTTGGCAATCCATAAAGCAACACCTATTTTATAGACTAGATACATGACACAAAATGATGATTACAAAACAGAGATGATGTTTAAGAAGGATTAGGAACACGGGGTTGCTTTTTAAATAGCAAATATTTTTGCATTGCTATTTGGGATTTGCCATGGTACACAATAATGAAGAGTTAACTCTCTTATGTACTATTGGAGTTCAAAAGCCAGCAGGGTGACAATACTGAGGGTCTTGCCTCAGTGTGGTTTAAAACAAGAAAACTGTTGAGGTATTTATGCCATCCTCACGACAGGGGTTTGGTAAACAATCTCCTTGGTCTTTCATGGTAGAGCTTCAGTTTACATCAGTGTTGTTAAATCACTGTAGACATTTAAATGAATGGGTTCAGTGATGTTGGTTTCATTCTCATCTTCTCATTCATGGCACCCCTGCCAAGAGTCTGTGGGCCTCTCTAGGCCAGGGGGAAACAACAGACCCCACCTCAATGCTCTGTCAAATACACATTTCACTTTCAAATGAACTGGCAAGGCTCCAATATTCTCAAGGCTCCATTCCCAAAACCTGGGTTTCTGGGTGATTACTAAATGCCCATGAATGTGATGGGGACCCTTCCCTCAGGAATGGCTGATCTGGGTTTGGGGACTGCCAGGCTGCTCCCTCTGTAGGGAGGAATGGATGACAAGTGGCAGTGATTTCACTGCATGTAATCAGGTTTATTTGTAAGGAACACGCACGAGTTCTCTCTCAATGGCCACAGGGAGAATACCCCTGCAGCAGCCCCACTGCTCATAAATTCATAAATCCAAGTCTACTTTTCCAGCACAAAGTGTGCTTAAAAAACCTTGTCTCCCGTGGCAGCGTTTACCACCTTCCTCTTTGCTTGCTGGGCTGCACAGGCACACTAAGTCTTGCCTTTCTTACCATGCCAATAGAAATCCCTTAGGCTGGAGCTTGACAAATGCTTTTTTCCAGCAGCATCGGGGGAAAAAAGGGTTATTTTAAACTGAAATCAATCCTAGACTTTATTCTTCCCCCAGTGACGCAAGCAGTCAGACTGGCACAACTTGGGACGTAGCACAGGAATCAGAACAAGCAGCTGAAAGCAGCTTAGCTTGGTGTGCTCTCCAGTAAAACAAAACAAACACAATAATTTTAAATTTTTGAATGGGTTTTCATAAATTGTCAGACAGCATCATCCCAGTTTTTTAGTTTAAGAGACAGATATTTAAAATTGCAGTCTGAAAAATTGCTCACAGACTTGCAAGCTTATGTCCATTCAAAATGCTTAAATCATATAGCTCTAAACTTCCCCCCTCCCCAACATTTACCTGGAGAGGGAGCTGCCTAAGAAAGCTTTAAAAATATTTATTTTAGTAAATAGGGTGTTCAAGAAGTCAGTGAAAATGTAAAATACAGAATGAAAACTTAAGACATTAGACCTGTATTTCTTTTTTTTTCTGGTTTCTTTTATTATAAAGACAACACTAATGTAAACAAAGATAAACATTGCATACTGCTCTAGTTCTTCATATAGCCTGGTTACACTAAGAATTAAAATTATTCTTAATAACAGTATTTCATAAAGAGGAGAGGAAATTTTTACTCTTAACTCTTTCTAACCAGATTTTTGTATCACCTTTGTATAAAGATGATGTGAAAAGGGGGGAAATAAACTAATTTTTTTCAGTTTGTGAATGTAAAACTAGTTTAAAAAGCAAAGTTGTGTCATGGATTGACATCTGGCACAGAGAGACAGAAAAGAGATCAATGAGAGACAATTCCGTAGCCCTTAACTATCAGAACCACAGGAAACTTCTCAAACCACAAATAACACATAGGTGGGTCTGCCTGGATCTCCTGCACAGGCTTAATCAAAAGAGTAAATCTTGGTAAGGTTCGAGATGACCTGAAAATTTCTGTGACTAAGATAATCATCTCAAACCACAAATAACACATAGGTGGGTCTGCCTGGATCTCCTGCACAGGCTTAATCAAAAGAGTAAATCTCGAACCTTACCAAAAAAAAAAGCTGAAAATTTCTGTGACTAAGATAATCATTAATGCTGCAGTAGCTAATGCTGTCAAAAAGTTTGGGAAGGGTATGAAACCTTGTAGTAAGGAGACAAAGTTAATCTTAGCCAAAAGATTTAACCATTTGTAGAAAAAATTATTCCATGTGTGTTTGCCACGGCATTCTCCTAATTCATTTTAAAGCAACAGGTAGTGACCAAAGTAGGACATGAATTCTGACCCAAACATGCTCTAGATCTGACCCAGTACCCATGAGACCCTGTGCTGCCAGATGTTCTGTTATGGAGTAACAAGCATACATTTTTTTAAAGCAGGTAGCTGTTGATTAGCTAAATTTATACCTTTGGAACTGACAATGAACAAACCAGTAGGGTTCCATTTTCTAGCTCAGCAACACCCTTTTTTATTTATCATGGCTGTTATCTCATGTATAATGCATAAGATGCTGGTTTAGAAAATGCCTGCCTAAAAAGATGCTGCACTGTAAGATGGACTCCTCTGAGAAAGCTC